ATGTAGGGGAGGGTGTGTGTGGCTGTGTGAGGTTTGTGGGGGTATGGGTAGCCATTGAGAATGTGGAGATGGGTGGGTATAGAGTTTGTAGGGAGCTGTGGGTGTATATGTGGTGTGGGAGAGGTTGTAGGGGTGTGTCTGGATGTATGGGGCTTGTGGTGGATTTAGGTAGGTGTAGGGGGTGGGTATGGGGGTTGGGTGTGGGGGGGTTGGAGATGTGTGGGTGATTGTGGGGTTTGTGGGGGGCTGTGGCCATGGTGGGATTGTGGGGAGTGTAGAGGTGGAGGGTGTGATGGGGTTGTAGCTCAGAGGGTGTGTGTGGGGGGGTGCATATATATAGCGGGATGTACATGTGTGCTCCCCCCCACAAAACAGGCCCCCCTCACACATACTCCCCATTGTGCACACCTCCTGCTGCCAATGGCAGCAGCAGGCAGGAGGCCATCAGGGCACTCACAGCACATAGCAGGCCGAGCCCCCCTCACCTTCCATCGTGCAAGGCTCGCATGCAGTTCCTGGATTCCCCACCCAAGCCCCACGCTCCCAGGGGAAGGTGCACACAATGAAGCCAGCAGTGTAGGTCATGGGATTCAGCCAGGGCAGTAGGGAGAGGGGCGGAGCCAGCCGAGCTCCATAGTGTGGAGTTCCCCACTGTCCCCCATAACCTGCATATGGCAGTGAGCAGGGCTGGGCCACTGGCTCCATCACACAGGGCTCCCCCCGGAGGCGCATAGCTTGGGAAAACCCAGAAACTGAAAACGAGTCCTGGAGAGGTCCATGTGATGGAGCCAGGCAGACCCCGTATCCCACCAGCCCAGGCTCCATGCTCCTATTGCCTGACCCTGGGCCCCTGCCAGCCCTGGCCCTGCAACACTGGCATGGGACCTGTACTCCTGCTGCCAGTTGCCTACTGCTTCCCACCTGCCCACTGCCACTGACCACCATCACTTCCTTTCTTTCCACCCACTGCCACTGCTGCCTCTCCCCTGCCCACCACTGCCACTTCCCTACCTGTGAGGCTGGGGTCAGGGGTGTCCTGCGGGCAAGGGTGAGAGTGCAGCATACACTGCCCCCATGGGAGTGAGCTGGGCTCAGCCCCATGTAAGCACATATGGGGCAGCCCGGGGTCAGGCCAGATACAGTGAATTGGTAGGCACCTGCCTGTGGACTGGATGAAAATTGTCTGGTGGGCCGGATCCAGCCCACATGCTGTATTTTGCCCACCCCTGCATTAGTCACATGTTTCACTATAACTTGGTAAGTAGTGCCACTGATGACTCTGGACTTCAAGGTATTGAAACTACTCAAGTACTTCCAGAACGCATATGTACCACGGGTAGCACAGCAGCCTGTGTGTGTGGCCCACAGCAGACCAGGGAGGGAACAGGCAACATAGCAGCAGATAGGGCACAGAGCACAAAATAGAGCAACAGATCAGGGAGGGAGCAGAAAGTAAAGATCAAAGTAATACTCAAGGAGGGTATGGAGCCCCCCACTCTCTATATCATCCTTCTTTCCTAATTCTAGTTCAGTGAACTCCATTTAGACTGCACATTAGTTTTGCGTATGAGGAGAAAATGCAATGAGGATGTACATTGGTGAGAGGGCTTAGCTGCCAATCAACAGGACAACACAGCTGGTGGTTGCTAGGGCAGCTGATTGGGTCAGCTGACTGCCAGGGGACTGGGCCTGGCCCATATAAACAGAAGAGGCTGAGGGCAGAGCAGTTCCCCTCTGGCAGCCAAAGGAGTAACAGCTCTGCTGTAGACCAAAGCAGAGTAAGGCGGAGCAAACCAGCCTGGTCGCCCTACCGCCTGATAGTCTGTAGAATGGTGTGGAGAGGAGAGGACCCCGACGGAGATGAGGAGTAGCCAGGGCAGCGTGGAGTGTATGTTGTAGCCAGTTGGCTCATAGCTTGTGTTTTGTTTATGTAAGACCAGCCAGGAGGATTATTTGTGTTGTAGCCGGTCGGCTTATGGCTTTACGTTTCTTGGTTTTGGGTCATTGTTATGACCGGAGGACCGGGTGAGGCTGTAGGGGTGCGAGGAGGCCTCACGGGAGCTCCCCAGTAGTCTGGGGTTCCTGGGTGCCCTGTACGGGCACAGCAAGCAGTACCTGGAAGGCACAGCTGTTTGGTGCCGGTGTTGCACTACATGTGGGGTATTAAGCCCCAGCGCGGGAGGGCGGTATTTTGCCCACTAGGGCATAGGACCCCAAGAAGGGTCAGGGGGCCAGGCACGGCTACGGGCCACCTGAGCCCCCTGCGCAGGAAGCGCGGGCGACAAAACCCCAGTGGGGTAACCTGCCGCGAGCAGCGCGGGCGACGAAACCCCAGTGGGGTAACCTGCCGCGAGCAGCGCGGGCGACGAAACCCCAGTGTGGGTGAGAGCGCGTGAGGGCAGGGAGACAGGCCCAGTGGGGCGCTGCCTCTACATAAGAGCCCAGCAGGGGCAAAGCTATTGAGAAGCCCAGCTGGGCAAACCTGAGGAGAAACCCAAACAGGTGAGTGTAAGAGCCCAGAGTAGGGCGAGTGCGCCGATAGAGGCCCTAGTAGGGCAGGGCCCGCGGTTCAGAGCCTGAAGAAGGTGATTACACAAGCAGAAGCCCCAGGAAAGGGCGAGGGCCAGAGTAAGAGCCCAGAGTAGGGCGAGCACGCCGGTAGAGTCCTGGGGCAGGGCCGGCATGCGATTTAAAGCCCGGAGAGGGTGATTACACGAGCAGGAGCCCCAGGAAAGGGCGAGGCAGGGCGTGCGGGATACAGCCCAGAGGGGTGAGCTTAGCGAGAAACTTAAAGGAGCCAGCTCAGGGGCTGGCCTGAGTGGGCTAGCGAATACAAGAGAACCAGCAAAAGGGCACGAGTTGCGTGACAAGCTCGGGAGTACCAGTAAGGGCACTGGTTGCGTGACAAGCCCAGGGGCATTAGCCAGGACACTGGTTGAGTGACAAGGCCGAGAGCGCCTATGGGAGGCGCCAGTTGCGTGGCAAGCCCAAAGCACCAGTCAGGGCGTGGAGAGCAAACTGACCAGTCAACGTCCGGGACAGCTGCGAGGCTTGGGGCATGCTAAAAGAGAGGTTGGAGGCAGGCGTAGCCCATAAGGCTGGGGTGCACGGGGTCACCCCTTAGAGGATATGGGCCGGTACGAACATAGCACCCTGTCATAGAGAACAGTAAGGCAGCCTCCCTTAAAGATATATATAACAGCAAGACGTGGCAGGAGAGACAGAGGGTGCTAAACAGTTAACTTGGCACAGTAGGGGGCGCTAGGGAGATCACGGCCGCTCCTAGGGCCCGCCCCGTGACAGAGGATTTGTTACAAGCGGATTTGTAGATATCTCTGTCAAACGATCCTGTTTAGTAAACAGTTTATGTTGAGATGACTTTCCCCAGTGTTATCCTGCTAAAATCTTCTGCTAGAAATGCTCCTTCCTTAATTTTCCAGCTGCTTCCAGCACCATGTACAAAATTAGTATGGTTCAATATTACTCAACTTTAAAATACTAAGTCATAAGACTTATGAAGTAAGTGTAGAAATGCAACCAGCAATAGTTCTGCTGTGCTGCATACAGCAGACTCTCTTCCACAAGAGACACAAAAATCTAGAGTGCAACACAGAAAAAACCCTGCATCATGTCAAAGCATGGTAACCTAACCATCTACATGACCAAAGAATGACTTGGGGCCTAAGAAACCCAAAGGAGAAAAGGATACCATCTTAATTCCTTCTGTGGGGAAGTAAAACAAAAAACTGCTAAGGCTACAAAGCCAGCAGGTCAATTATAGCAAAACCTTGCAAGAAAAAAAGGAATTGATGTAAAATAGCCTGCTTTTTTGGTAATTCAGTGCCAATTCTTGCTTGGTTACTATTAGAGAGATAGTGGCACGTTCTTTATTGAAAATACTGCTGTCCTGCTTTCCTGTGGGTCCTCTCCCTACCATCCCATGGACCTTTTTATAGAGTTCAAAGAACACCTGACCCTTTGGTATTATCTAAAAAGAGTGACCTCTCTCAAGGACAGCGCTTACATTGCAAAAAAAAATAAAAATCCAGGTAAGGTGAACACTGAACCAGTATCAGTGACAAGTTCCCTGTAACAGATATGGCTAGTCATTCTTGCCTGATAGCATTGATTCAGAAGACTCTAGAGGAGAGAAGTAGAAAGCTCTAACTTACCTTTACTAGCAGACGGATAGCATTGTGTTTTAACCCACAGTCCACAGCTACAACTTTAATTGGATTTCCGTGGCCATATACTTTGACTTCCTAAAGGTAGGTTTAAAAAAGACAGACATTACTACAAATCCCACTTAGCAGAGAGATTGTTAACCAGTGGGAAGTGACTGGCACTAAACAATCTATTTGCAAGGAAATCTTAGGAAGTGTCACAGAGATTGATATTTCATTCATTTTTTAAAAAGGAAAATATTATAATGCTGTTCCAGGAATAGCAATGAAGTCTAAGAAACTGATTGTTTCTAGAGTTAATGATCAGCGTTTCTGTGTTTTGGCTCATTACTGGTAAGTAAAAACTGAATTCTCGAGAAATACTGCTTACTTAGACACAGCAGTAGAGAAAGCCAGTGCTGGACACACTGGGCAAGATTGTCAATTGGTCTCACTCTATTACTCCATAATAGAGTGAGGCCAATTTACACCAACTGAAGACCTATCCCATTAGACTTTAAGTACAGTCAAACCCTGATAATGTCACATATGTAGGGAGCTGACAAAAGCCTGTGATATTAAGCAGAGTTGACAATAACTGGAGTCACACACCAGTTAGCACTCACTCATGTTCCTACTGATTCACAACAGGCACTGTCAGAGCCCTAAGGGGCTAGAATTTATGCCCGTATTCCTTGTGTGTAATTATGTGAACTTATGCAATATCCACCCATGGTACTTATAAAATGTCTATCATAAGAAATGAAGTAAAAAACTATAAAAATGTGCAATGTTAAAAACTTGTGCACTAATTCACTGAAGGAAAGAGAGGCTTTATTGCCCCCCAAAATAAAGAGTGGGAATGCTTAAGTCCCACCCACTCACCCCTTTGCTCCAGTGGCACCATGCCTGGGCTTCACTCACTCTCTGAACTTCTCATTCATTTTTTTGTTCTATTTGTACTAAAAACTATGCTACATAATAAGAACTCATGCCCCTAATGTAATTTACCTATGACATAAACTGTGTGTGTATCAGTAAAGCCTTAGCCAGGCCACACTCAGGCTCTGGCATTAACTTAAATTCCCAGGCCCTGAGCTAGTACCTGACAAGACTATGCTACAATTATAAAAAAAAAAAATCATAATTTTCTGCCATAACATATCTTTAGATATATTTTTCAGCAACGCAAATGACTTTGCCAATAGCTGTCTGCTAACTGTTTTGACCTTGAAACATCCTTCCATTATTGTGACATTAAGCAGTAATTTATCCAGCACAGAATGACTAAGTTGTTGACATTAAGCCATTTGTGCCGGTGTCTGGAGTGGCAAGAAAAAGAGGGCTTTTTGTGTTGTTATATGTGGAAGCCAGCCACTGAAGACAAAAGGCTTGTGTGAATAAACAGGACAGAGTGAGGAGTGATATTATCCAGGTTGTCCTGTACCATTTTGATCCTCTAATGTCAGTGGCATTACATTTCAGCCTTACTCTCTCACTACACATGCCACTTTATCCTCTGGTTTCAACACAGATGGAGTAAGATAAAACTGAGTCATTATGTGTTATATAGACCCCCCTCAAAACCACAGATTTACTAACAGATATGTGTAGTAATGCTCTAAATGTGTTTGTGGAGCAGCTATACTGAAAAATAATGGATTTTTTTTTCTTTATAAATGGAGTAACTGTGTCAGCATCCAGCTGGGATGATTTTCATCAGGGAATGTCCACAGCATCCTTCTTCCTTGCAGAAGCTAACTTCCTTGTCATCCCGAGCTGTGCAGAGCCTGACAGCTGAGGTTTCTGAATGCACATCAAACAAAATGGCTTTTCTCTGTCTGATACACCACTGAGCAAACTATTTTTATTTTATTAAATAACTGCTTTATATCAACTTCCTTGGCGCACAGATAGTTCACAGCAGGAACACTTGTGGGTAAAATGCTAAATTTTATGTTCACGCCGTCTGGCACTGGATCACAAACAGAAACTTTTCATAGGTGACCTGCCACCAGCAAGGACAAAAGCATCATCTTCTATAAAGGGGCCTGAACCGGAGTGTACTAGGAAACTGTAAAAGCCATCTCCCTTCATATTATTCTAGCTTACCTCTTGTTTAGAATGAGTTTAAAGAGTTTCTTAAAGAAAAACATACATATATTATTAAAAAGAACAAAGTGTTAACATACTATAAGGTAAACAGTAGCATGTCTTATGCTAGAATGCTTTGGAAGTCCCTTGGTGGACTGACAATTAGAGAAACTACTCAGAGTTCTTTTAACCAAGGATGAACCTAAAGCAAAAGCTCTGACTTTGGGAAGTTCAGATCCAAATGTGAAAAGTGTAATTCAGAACAGGCTGTTGTATGCAGTTCACCAGTAAAAGCAAACTGCTCCAGGTTGATTTTGTGGCCTGCAGGTACCACACCCATTAACCATTCGTGGTTTTCCTCTGTCCATTGGATTAGGTTTTTGTGGACAAAAGTGACTTGACATTCTTGAATGGTTAAACATATTTTGTCCGCTCAGAACCTGAATCTCACTCCCAAGTTACCAGCAAAAAAAAAAAAAAAAAAAAAATCTCTGAGCAACTCCCTGAAAGACACAGTTCTACTGACACAAATGTCCTGTATACACATCTTTAATAAGGAGAGAACTTACTGCATTAGCACCAAAAGGTGGGAGGGGAAGAGGGGTGGGAAATCTATCACTTCTAATGTATCATTGATAAAAAAACGCTAGTCTTACCGCAACCTGATTTACATGAAAAGAGCTGTTTGGTAACAGATAGATTATCATGTCCAGTAATTACCACCATTGAACAGTTTAGTTAATTGTCAGCTTTATTTGTGATTCTTCTTTTTAAGCCTATAAAATGAAGTTATAAACATAATGAGACCACAGAACCTCTGTTAATCTTATTATATCTCCTTTATGGATGCTACTTTCTGCATCTTTATAGTAATTCCCTCTTGGTAATGGGAAAGCTTATCAACAACAACCTTACCTATTAGTGATTTATGGCTCAAAACGGCTCCAGCTGGTACTTCGGGCTTTAGCTTATGAAGACATCAGTGGACAATACCCATTAGCTTATACACTAAACAAGTGCCTGATCCAAAGCTTAATGAAACTGATTCCAATAACCCCAAGAGAATCTGAATTAGACCCTAAAGCTAGATTTGCAGAGATGCCTAATTCATTTTGATATGAGATGGTCATCCAAAATCCTTAGGCAGTTTTGCCATCTGAATCTGAGTGAAGTTGGGAAGTCTGAAAATTCACTCTTGGATCACTGGTCAGTCTGTTCAGAATTGAAGAGGTCCAGGTTCAAACTGCAATACTGTCAGCATGTTAAGAAGTAACTCTTGGAAGTACACAAGAATAAATACTAAGCTTGAAAAACCCAGGAATGACATAGACTGCAACATGCTCCTCATCCATGTGGGCACAAATGACACAGCTCAGAGCAATCCCAGGTGGGCTATAGTGTCTACAGGACTCTGAAGGAGGGGCTCAAATGGTTGGGAGTGCAGGTAGTTTTTTCCTCAATCTTTCCAGTTATGGGTCACGGGGACAGGAGGGATGCATGAATTGATGAAGTCAATAGAAGACTGCAGCACTGGTGCTATCGTGTATTAGACTGTGGAGTTTGTATAAGCATTTAAAGGCTCCCAAATTGCAAATCAAATAAGAGTCATTCATTGAAGAACAGTCAATGTTTGCTTGTATATAGCATATAAAAACTTTCTAGGGCAAATGGGGTGACATTTATCATTTAAGTGTATAGTACCCCCAAGGAAGAGGAAATTCTCACCTTAGTTGAAACTTCTGCAATCAAGTTCTGCTTATTTGGGTCTACAAACTCCACTGGTTGACCTTCAAATTCAATCTTCCCAAGTACTGTGCCCTGTGGAAATAAAGAAGTAGACACTTGTGCATGAGCAAGGAAGAAGCTGTGAAAACTGGAGCAGCTGCTGACAGACAAAACACCACAGGAACTGGAACAGCTGCTCCAGAGTCAGTTTGACATCTTCATCACCACTCCCTGCATCCTCAGATAGCTAAGCAGATTAACTATCCTACATTTTGGGGGAAGTGGGGTAGGCAGTAACATCAGCTGAAATGGGATTAAGCCAACTTTCTTTCAGCTTGTCTTTCAGAGAAATCAGAGTTCAGCTCCTAAGACCAGAGGCCTTCAGGACCTGGATGCATTCCCAAAGCAACCCTGCTGCCTTTCTTCTTGGGAGTATCTCTGTCACTCTGGATAGCTGGAGAAACAAAGTTGGTGAGATGAAGAGAGGTGCATCCACTCTTCTCAGCTGGGGAATGGGTATGGCACTGGTGCACTTTTTAGCATGAGAACAGCAATTTGAAAGGGACAAAGTAGGAAATTTCAGATCTCTCCCTTACAAAAAGGACTTTATTTGTATAACAAAACAGTTTACCATTTAATTCTGCTCCCCTACACTTTTACAATTACTAAGTAAGTACACACAATGGCTTTACTTCTATGCATAAGCATACTATTGGATCAGAGATGGGTACTATCTGTGATATTGCAGTCATTTCATATTCTAAGAACATCAAAGAACTCCATCTTGGTCATCTTTGTGTACAAATAGTGGCCAACTGTTCATGATCACATGTAACCCACTGTACAATCCAATACTTCTACCCATATTAAGTATCAAACACCTTAAACCACAGAAGCCCCATTAAAGACAAAAATATGATAGTGCACAGTGAGAGTATGGATGGCAGAATTTGGCCTAAGGTTATCTTAATAGCCTTTCATGTGAAGTAATTGTTTTTGGTGATATGCCCCTTTCCCCAGGCTTCTGATGAAACTTTTCTTTCCCTGTTGAGTATCCCTGTTGGTAGGATTTGCATGGGGCAGAGTTGAAAAGGCTAGTGTGACCTTCAAGAGGCCAACCAATTGGGAGCTCTGGAAACTGCTGAGAGCCGCTTCAGAGAACTGCAAAAGCTGATTATATCCCTTCTCTCACATGCACAGTGCTTTACCTTGACACTGGATTACTTAATGAAATGATGCCCTGTGTTTACCTTTAGAATCCAATTTACAGAGTCACTGTTCATTTATGCATTCATCGCACTGAAAGCCTATTCTCATCTTCAATTTATTAAAGTACACGGACTGAAATATTAAGCTAGTTTTTCAACCTGACTAAGATTAGTGGGAGAAAAGGCTACATTATGCATTTTTTAAAAACCTAAGCCAATATTACTCAGAGTCCCAATGTAATGTGCATTATTACCATATGCTGTATGCTAAGCTATTGGATAAATATTGAAAGCATATATACTTTAGGTGAAAGGGACACTGATCCATTAAGTGACATGTATCAGGCAAGTACAAAATGTATTCCCATTCTCCACCTACAGACATACTGTATTAAAATGTTCTCATCTTTTGTCTACAGAGGGTTTGTCTACACTGTTCTCATCTTTTGTCTACAGAGGCATTTTCCCTGAGTATTCATTTCTGCAAATACCATGCTATGCAAGTTGGGTCATTCATATTTTGTTATGTGGAATGAATGAGGGTGGACCTAAACTGCAGAGTTCAGATGGATCACCCATACAGTCAGACAAGAGAAGCTTCAGATAACCATTTACAACAGAAAAAGCCTCCAAGGCACAAAGATTTATATTCTAACAGAATTTGATAATTGTTTTACCCAATATGTGAAACAAGATATACCATTAACCTTTATCTGGTAATGCAATATTGCACAGATCCTTCAAGTGTCAGTTCTGAGACCAGAAAGATGTAATAACTAAAAATAAATAAATAAATGGACTAAAGAGAATCAGCCAGATCTAGGCAGACAAGGTTCTTTGGGTGAATCTGATATCTTTTATTAGACCAGTTTAAATAGTTTGGGGGGTAGGAATTAGCAAGCTTCTGTGTTTAAAAACCATCCATCAGGCAGAGGAAGCCTCTGCAGTTGGTGTGTGCTCTTCCTGGATGGAATGAATAGTAAAGCAGCCTGACAAAGGGTTTTTAAATCTGAAAGCTTGCCAAAAAATGGGTTTTTTCCAACTATTTAAGTTGGTCTAATAAAAGATATCAGATTCACCCAAAGAACCTTCTCTGCCTATGTCCTTAGACCAACACAGCTACAATCTACACCCCTCAGCCAGATCTAGGAATCCAGCTTTCAGCAACAAAGTTAGCTTGTGTCTTTAAGGACTGGTATATTTTCTTTTGAGTGGGATGGCCCTTTCCTTTTGTAGAGTCCTGTGAGATGATGCCCAGAAGCTTGAAATTCCCTCAAGTTGTGGCAAAATGCCCACTCATCTACGCCAGGGCAGCTTGTGGTACATATCCTCATTCATGTTTTAATTAGAACACTTTAGTGTCACCTCATCATCATGTCTATTAAGCTTTCGTGCATTTTAAAATGGCCTCGATACATTATAAAATGGCCATTGTCAGCTAAAGCTGGTCAAATGAGGTTTAGATAAAGCATCCCATGGTCATTTTTAGATGTGCAGGGTTTAATAGACATGATGACAAGGCATTTTAATTAAAGCAGCTCTCCAGGAACTGCTGTAATTAAAATGCCCCACCCAAACTCTGAGCATGTGTATAGGCAGCCCAAGGCCCTACCTATAACATAAACATGCCTAGCAGCAGCACCTTCAAGAAAGCAGCAACAAGGAGAGGCCAGCTAGCTTAGAGGTAAGATAATGGACCCTGTCACTCACTGGTACTAACTGGACTCTCCTGCTTATGCCAGCCTGCAGCCAACTGTGGCAAAAGGGCACACAGCAAGAGGCACAGGTGGCTAGGGCAAGACCAGTGACAGAACACTGGGCGCAGTACACCTGGAGAAGGTTGAGACCCCGTATTGAAGTAGGTGGCTGAGGAAACGCATGCATGTGGCATGAGTATCTGACTCCTCAAGGAACTGGGGGCAGCAGAGTCCACTGATGGAAGTCTCCTTTGATTTAATTGATTTTTTGGGTCCATTTTGGGACTGTTAAAAAAAAGGAATTAATAGAGAGAGAGGTGGGGATTGACCCCAAAGAAAATGCATGCCCCTTTAATTGATCTTTTTTTGGTTTGGGACTACTAAGAAATGAATTCAGGGGGATCAACCCTGAAGGGAGAAAGGAACTACAGTGGATGCACCTTCCAAAAGAGATGAAGAATTATTGAATTGATTTAAGTTTATTTACGCTGGCAGGCTGTCAGTTGATTCATGATAGGGGATGAACTCTAGCTGAACAGCTGACCAAAATCTGGGTTGCCCCACTGAGTGGCTTCATTTGATCCCAAAAGAAGAGGGCCTGACATAGATTCCAGGTGGCCTAGATAGGACTGCCTCAGGCATCACAAGGGGTTACACCCTAGAGATAAGTGTAGGATCACATCTAGGATGTGGCAAGCGTAGGGTGTAAGGGAAAGCAGAGTCCCATGAAGAAACTCCTCTGGCAGGCATGGATTTATCAGCCAACAGAACCAGCTCCCAACTTAAAGTAAGATCAAAGGTTCAGCAGGAAAGAAATACAACACCGGAGAGTGACTGGATATAGTGTTGGCCTCTCCATATCCTGATGTCATTCACCAGTAAGACATCAGGCCAGAGAGGGCCTAGGCCGTACAGTATTTACTCCTGACAAGGTCATGCACACCAGAGACCACCAGAACATCCCTAGTTGTCCCATCCATTAAGAAAGCATATGATGACACAATGTTTAGGAAATTATACCTTGTCCCGAATTATTTTAGATAACATCCTGGTATCAATTCCATACAGAGCAGGCACCTGGAGAAAAGACAACAGACACAGGTCATAAAACAGCAGATGACAGGAAAAACTACTACCATATCCTTTCCTTGAAAAGAGTGCATCTGTGGTTTAAAAATTCAGCCCCTCGGGGGGGGGGGCAGCCCATGCCACTGCACTGGTGGCTCCTGGCAAAACGAGGGCTGAGACTCATTTTTCCGATGTCCTGTCCACCCTAACCCACTGATCCAGTTCACCATTGAAGCTCATCCATAGTAACTGCTAGAGACTGAGGGATTAAGAATGGGTGCTCAGGATAAGTCCACAGCAGCTAACGAATGTCCAGATCTGGACTGACTCAATGAGTACAGGTAGACAATGTTAGCACTATGAGGTGTGCAAACATCTGTCGCAAGATGAACCCAGAAGTTTCAAATAGTAATCCATAGTGTTAAAAACATTCTGATCTTTCTGTGTTCCTTGCAACAGAAAAATTGCTCTATATTTTTTCCATAGTCAAAAAATGAGTGAAACCTAAAAGTAGGCTGCTGTAGGAAATTGGTGACTACATTTTCTTTATAGTTGCATGCTTCATGGAACTGATCAATGGATCTGCTCCTTTGAAATAGCACTGGACTCTTGAGTCTGAAAAGGCTTTTTTGGAGGGCGAGACACCTTGTGCAAATCAGCAGGTTTTCCAACTTCTAACATTGCAAAACAGTTAGCTTTGCAGAGACAGGTACCTGTTGTAGTTTGCAGTCCTATACTAGAATGAAAAGGGAGAAGAATGCCCTGTGCTGTGTCTCAGCCACAAATTGTTCTCATGGGAGAGGATGTATGGGTATGCCCTGATGGGAAGAGAAGGCTACCTATCAAATGTGCCAAAAAAGCCTCAGACGCTGTCTTCTAAAAAACCACTTCAGCTGGATGAATGTGCATGGCCCCATCGAAGTGATCAAACAGCATGAAGATTCCTTATGTGAGAATTGTGTGTCATACTTGAGTCAGGCATTTTCTGAGTGGCTCCTCAAATCTAAAAAGGTTGAGAACCACTGAGATTTATTAGTATGTATTAGTACCAGGATATACCTGTTCTCCCTTCTTCCTCTTTCATTTTCCTTCTCCCCATTTACCCTTCTAAGTGATTGGGGTTGCCCAAATATCTGGTTGCTGTACTGTGCAGCTGGCACAAACATCATTCAATATTTGTGTGGCAAACACTATTCTATATGGACCATGGGCCCCATTCTCACCTCCAGGAGACCAGCTGATATAAATCAACAGATATCATCACATTCAAATCAACACAGCCATATTGATTTATACCTGCCAAGAATATGACCATGGTTTTGCAGTGGTGTAACCCCTGTGACATCAATATTGTTACAATGGTCACAGCCTCCTCTGAGAACAGACTAATAATTCATCAGCAGCACACACTTGTACCTATGCTTACAGTGCTTTGGGATGGGGGGAGTCCACTGGAGAGAGATAATAAAAGGGGAGAGTAAGGGAGAGAAAAGGTCAAGATGTTATCTGAAGCATGCATAAGCAATCTATTGTGAAAGGAGGAGCCAAGAAGTATCACCACTTAGCTTTCTTCCTGAACAAGTCTGGTAAGTATCGCTACACCTTCAAAAAGGAATGGAGAAGGAGGCTATCTTCAGGGCAGAGAGACAGCAGGGGCTTTGCCAACATGAAACAGAGCTCTGCATCCAAGGGCAAAATTTGCAGAGTGCTATAAAACAACACCTCTTTCCCCTGCTTCCATCAAAATGTTCAGCAAGTTACTCAGCAATTTAATAAAAATAGATATGTACATCAAGTGCCTGGTTACCTACAGATCTCTCACCTGTTCTTCTTTCAGCCACTCCCCCAAACTCTTGACTGCCCGCCAGTGACTGTACTCATTGCTATAATCCAGCACCAGCAAACCTGAAACCTGAACATAAAACATAAAATAAACTGTTCTGCACTTATAGAAAGTAAGGAAATTTCTCCCTACAAATATTTATAAGATGAGTGCATGGCAAGCTGTCCAAGGGTTAGATCTAGACATTTCTATTTCCTGTAAAAAGCAAACTGCAAATTCATCAAAAATGCATTTCAGGACAGCCAAAGCTATTTGCTAAACAAGCTGAATGTATTGAATAATTTCATCAAAAAAGAACATACCCCAATACAATCTAATCATTTCATTTTGAAAATGTAAAATATTTTTCCAATACATTTCTCATTAAAAAACTAGGTGACTGTGGCATTGATGCCTACAGTCAGATGGACTGCAGATTGGCTGAAGAGTCATACTCAGAGGGTAGTGGTGGATGGGTCTTTTTCGGCCTGGAGGGAAGTGGGCAGTGGAGTCCCCCAGGGCTTGGTCCTTGGGCCCGCACTGTTAATTTCTTTATTAGTGACTTGGATGACGGGGGTGAAAAGCAGCCTGTTTTTATTATTGACTCCAAGATGAATATGGGCCGACAATGAGAGGTCACGGTCAGTAGGGCTAACCACACTTTGTTGTGCATCCACTGATGCATCTCAAGCAGGGCCAAGGAGGTGATCCTCCCCCTCTGTGTGA